TTTAAATCCGGAAAAATAGTTTCATTTCCTACTTATGTCTATATTTTCAGTGTTTTTTTTTTCAATAAATGAAATATAATGAAAACTACGGCAGCTATATTGATATTGCAATAGATAGTAAAATAATCTTACATGTTAACGTAGTTTTTATGTTAAACCGTCCGTGATCTCTCCAAGTGAATGTCATCTCAAGGACTTCAAGTCAATGTCACTACAAAACCAACAAATATTCCATAGAATTCTGAAATAATAGTATACGAGGTTAACACGAACAAAAACGTAAATTAACTAATGAATAATGTTGCTACCTTACCTATTCACAAATTTGTTAATATTCATGGTGCAAATGAAGTTGTTTTTGTATAATGATGCCGTGTTTCTAATGGCACTGCTCTTAGAGACCATCACGCTAAATTGTGCCCGAATGCTATGTCCTTACATAAGTATCCTACTCGTATCTAGTTCGTTATTATTATTATTTTTGTAATTTCACATCGGATTCGTTTACAAATCTAGAAAACTGGGACCTACTTCGGATGTCGCTTGTGCACTAAGTCCGATTCAAATCCGAGAAAATGCGGATATCGCTTGTATACCTAGAGGTAAAATGATCCCTGTGACATTCGGACCGTCATTAGTCGGCTTCGGAATTGGCCGTAACAATTACTGTCAAATAAGTTATACTCGACCAAATTGGAAAACGCATGATGCGAATGAAGCTTCATACTTGACATTGTTTTTTCACTTGGTCGAGTATTACTTATCCAGTTCTTAGGTTTTCGCGATTGTTACACGAAATGAAACTATTTTTCCGGATTTAAATCGCGTATATTTGTTTTTTCAAACAAACCAAAGTTTCGGGCCCTTTACATGTCTCATGGTCACGGTTGACTGAGTGCAGTACTAATTAATATGTTTTAATTTATTCTAAATTTCATTATTAATTAACAATAAATTTAACTTAATAAAAATTCATATTAAATAAAAAAATAATTGTAAAACATCATCATCATCAAACTTAAGAGTTATACTTCGGTGGAGCCTTGACCTCCTTATACGACACGACACCGGCCTTTTGATTTATTTAGTCTATGTAACTGCGCCTAGGTCGACCTCTTCCCCTCTTCCCCTCGATCTTTCCCTACCAAATTGTCTTAAAGAGGTTGTCGAGTCGTATCAAATATCCAATCATTACCCCGCGTCTATACTCTATAGTATTCAGGATCGTTTTTTTCTCGTTCACCACCCTCAATACCACCTCGTTGGTTTTCTTTTCTATCCAATTTATACCTTTGATCCTCCTCCAGCACCACATCTCAAAAGCTTCTAATCTCTTTGTGTCAGTGTCCATGTTTCGCATCCATAAAACATAATGTAGCGTAAATTGGAATGTTTATTTGTAAAAAAGAGGGTGGTTTGCATAAATCGACTCATCCGAAGAAAAGAGTCAAGAGTCTGTTATTATATGCATAGCGAAAAGAGAATAAGTACGTTTCGAGAATAATTTCGTTATTCAAACTAAGGCCTATGTAAAGGTGTTTTGAGAATTTATATACCTTATTTCGCTTCGGAAATATAAAATCGAACAACAGTCGATCTGACATCCACAGCGAAGAAGGAAGGAACGAAATGTACTATGTCCCGAGAACAAGTAGACTTGCACATAGATCTTCGTTCTATGGATGAGTCGAAATATTAGACATAACTGGTTGATGACTGTACCACCTCAGTCAACCGTGACCCTCCATCGACATCAGAGCATCTTACCCTTCAAAGCCGAAACGCAGTGGCAGAAAACCAAACTTGTATTATTCGAGATTATAAAATGAATATTTTGACCTAGTATTTCTATTAATAAGGATGTCAATATATTTCGGATAATTATTAAAATTTTAGTGACACGTTTAATGCGCCAATTGATATACTTATTGGTATAATTTATTTCTAACGAATTACGACTTTACGTAGTACTTGCAAAAGGATCGTTTTAATTAAACTGTACATTCTTATCAACGTGCGAAACACAGATTTCGTTTTATTGAAAAGCCATATATTTCGAAATGGCAACTATTGTTCTTGAAGCGCCACAAAATCTTTTGACAGGTTGATTTGAAACAAAATGACTTATATCAGTTTCAACGATCAGATCTTATATTGTCGAAGTCCCCTGCTAATGGAACTTTATCCAAAGCTACCATGGCATTCGTACTTATAGCAAATTCGATGTAGAATAAATGACAACAAACAAAACATGCGATTTTTAGGGTTTTCACTTCGGATTGTTTTACGATTAGGTACCACAATTTCAATATTATTTTTCCTTGAAATTTGATTAGACTATTGATAATTCTAATCTTGATTTCCTGTCTGTGATGAATTTTGTTCAATAGAGGTTTGAAATCACTAGTAAGTGATTTGAAACCAACGTAAAATTTACTAGTAATTAATTGTTTATAAAAGTATGTCATCCCTAAATTTTTTTACTTGAATAGAGCGATTGCAAACATTTTGAGCTCGAGTAGTAAGTAATTAAAATTCAGAATCGGTAATTGTTGCTAGATGAGACATGTAGTAAATTAATATAAAATAAAATCTAGCAGTAAATGTTAATAGATATTAAAAAATCAAATTTACTTTGCAAACTTTAATATTGGCTAAGTAAGTATTACTTCTAAGTAACCTAAATACACACTGACCTATTGAAATTCTCATTACGTGAGCAGGCCGTGGGCAGAACTAGGCTTAACAATGAGCATTAACAAAAAATGTTCTTTGCTTCTGCCATCATTTGTTGCCTAGTAAAGTTTTGTTATTAAATATTCCATATCGAATTCGGCTAGGGTATAGGATCTTATATGCCCTCATCATCAGCTAGCCACTTGCGACCTTTACAGGTCGTTAGTCCGTCTAAAAAGGGGAGTTATGTTCTTGTATAATTACCATTTATTGCGAAAATCACAATAAAAATGGTTTATCGATGGTAACCTGTACAGAGTTATTTAAAATAAATTTTGCAGCAGTAGAAAGGACGCTAGCTCAACATGTATCTGACAAATATCTGGTTCCAACTTTCAAATAGAAGAATAGGAGAGAGAATTATTAATTTTGTACCTATGACAAGTTGTGCAGCGCCCTTAGCGGTTACAAGATGAAGTTATTCTATACAAACATTTTACAAAGTCGCTAACGACAATTGAATATACTAAATTAAGTAGACTGTAGACTCTTCGGTCTTCAGAGTTATCATACTCCAACTCAAGTAATGTTTATTACATGGATATCACTCGAAATAGTCATATTAATTAAAGTATACTGGTCGTTCGTAAGGCATATTTACAATATTTCTTTCAACATAAAAGATCGCACGACAAACTGCAAGAGATAATCGGATAACCAGCACTATCATGGATTTTTGTCGTTTAAGTACACAGAAGCCGAATGAATCTAGTACAAAGTTTTTGTTTCACTATAGTGAAATCTCTGGTTGGCAAATTTTGAATACCAACATGAATCGTATTAAGAAGTAACTTAATGAAGACAACTTTCAAGAACAGTCAGTTTATTTATATTCCTTTTTTTAGTTTTGTAGATTGTTAGTGCACATTTGACCTCCATCGTACTCGTACCTGATGAAAAGTAAAGATGTGGTTGACGATGGAGTATGCCCACCTAAAAATGCCTATTTACTGTTTCCTTAAAAAGGCCCATGTTATAGCGGCCAGGAAATAAGTCTACTGGCAACGATTTCCACTTCATAGCCGTTTGCCATATAAATGTAGAAGCGTAACGTGTCATGCGAATTCTTGGAATATCCACAACATGGGAGTGTTGTCCAACCCTATGTCTAGTCCCCGGTTATGAAAAGAGGAAATCGGAATTGCCTTCATGGCCGAACGGGTACCTTGGCGGACTGCCATGCAGAGGTCCCAGGTTTGATACCCGGGCCGGGAGAAATATTCATATAGCTTACATTTATTTATCTCGTGAGTTTGGGTGTAATTTGTGATTGTCTGTGTGTGTCCATTGCACCCGCGACCATAAATATAATATCTATGCCCGCGACACAGGGTCCCCTAGTGCGGGGCTATGTTGAGTGTGTGCGTTATTGTTACAATAAATACAGAATATTTTTGGAATGTACCGAGACGTCCACACAGGTCAGTCGTCTCTATTTCTGGTTATATACTCGATGGTACGACCGAACGGCAGAAACTGTATTGTGTTTCTCGCATTAATGTTATGTGTATGTTTCATAAAAAAATACTATGCGGCACAAACATAAATTACATTTTCATAAATATAAAATGGTTAATTTCTATAAGCTCATCTCTTAAAGACACTCCGGTGCCCATGGCAATATGATCGTGCAGAAAACGACTCTGTTTGTTAACAATCATCCATGGGATTACGATAGACATAGGTAAACATTATGCCATTCAATCATCGTCGGATGGCGACCGTGTCGGATCGGCGACGCGACACGCTCGGCTTGGTGAGGCCTTCTGGTAATTATGTAACTGATAAACAAATATTATCGGAACTGTTTTTAGATGAATTTTCATAACAATATCTTTTATCTTTCTATAAATATAGATTGATAATATACTAAGGAAAAGGAGGAGATTCTGACTACACACACGTAGTCTCGACACTTAAGATTTAAATGCAACTTTATGTCATTTGCGATAAGATTTATCATGTTATCAATAATGTGGCGTAGACTGAAATTTAAAGTTGAGGTGTAAAGCTGTGCGTGCTGTTTACTGTACCTATTATCTGTGTAAGGTGGTTTCTAAAGTCGAATTCTCCTAATTGTTCAGTGTGAGCATAGCCTACGTCGCCAACCAGTTTGGTACGTATTAAATAGGAACTTGAGATTAAAATAAAAAATATATTATATTCTTTTTTCTAATAGTAGGCACATAGGTGGTTATGTGTTATTTTTTCTACTGTTTTAGGATTGTCTATTTTTTATTCACATTCTTTTCTGTTTATTTCAGCGATGTCGACCGACGGGTCGACGACAGACATCAATGGCTTGCTCAATGATACTGGTAAGCGACAGATTTAATTTTCAACATTATTTAACACTCTAGTTTCCCTCAAATTTCAAGAACGCACTTAAGAACTTCATTTATTTAGCGACATCTATTGAATTGGCTCGGTACTTAGATCAACACTGGCCTACTATAACGTGAAATGTTTTTTTTTACGAATAATTGTATGTAGCGCCATCTGTTCAACATTGTAGATACTACGTGCCACAACCACTATGTCCGCAAGTATCAAAGTACCAGTTACTCCCACTAGGTAGCGAAATTTTATCACACTGTTGCTTGCTAGTTGCTACAGAAGTTTGTTTAAAATGTAACAGGTGGCGCTGTTTTTAACTAGTACCAACAATGCCACCTGACAGGTAGTATTAAATTTATTAGTACTTCAATAAGTTGTCAGATGGCGTTACTGCTTCCTTTTTCATAACGTTCTTTTTGTTGGTTTTTTATTTTTCTCCTATTATGCCAGTTCATTATAAAGAGGTTAAAATATTTACATTACGCATTAATGCAGTTTTTTTTAATAATTGATTAATTATGTTATTAGAAGGTATCTTACCCGTATTAAAGGAAACTTAAAACCTTCAAATTGCTATCTTAGTATGCCATCGTTCCATTCTTTTACAAGATTGCCTTTAAACTTTTTTAACGCTACTCAAGCAATGACGTCATAAGGATTATGAAATAGAATCCAATTACAAATTGCGTAGGAACCTGCTACGGCATTGAGTCACTACGGTATGTGTACTACCGATTTACTTCATATCCTCAGTTTCATTGACTGGTGAACGATGTAGTGAGTCATAGACAATATGATTTGATCATTGATCTACACAATATTATCTCATCAATGTCTTTTCCAGTTAGTCATAATGTTGAGTATATTTTCACTTTTGAAATAATTTTATAGGTATTTTATATGAAGGGCTAGGTAAAATACCTGCTGTTTTAATTGAAACTTGAATAACTATATACTTTCTAATTTGTATATAAGTACATACATATGAAACAATGTTTCTGTTTTAAAACGTAAGGCTGCTGGTTTAATTACAGGAATATTTATTTCTTATGGCGACGGGTCAAGTGGCACTGCCCCTCAGATTTTTGCGATTTAAAGCTCAGAGTGACACTACAACTGTTACGGACAGGCGTGACGCTTACCACTAGGTGCACGAATTGTTCGTTCCGTGTCTTGGTACCATAAAAAAAATACTTTCATAAAGGTATTTTGAGTTCATTTATTTAAATAAAAAATGCAATCTTTATCACCAGTCGGACACCATGAAATAATTAAAAACGTCAATTACAAAATACATTACAGAATGATATTTGAAATTACAATTACTTAACAATTTTTTTTGCTTAATAATTGAAATTTAAATACAAAATACGAAATTGTATTTGAAATTTATTTCAAATTACAAGTAATTCTTTTACTAGAGTAAGCACCTACGGTAAAACGTGACCAAGTAATCACAATAAAATGGAATAAGTCTTTTTACAGCCTATTTAAAAAGAAACTATTACCAAATTGCTATTACTCTGTAAGTTAGTTTTTAAATGACGATTTAGAAAAACGAAATTTGTCAAAAATTTTAATTAATTTAGTTAGTATTTGAATTGTTTCTTTTGCATTGTATTAAGTCATAAAAATTGCATTACGAATACCTACAAATACAAATGTCTGACATAAACTTATAAGACCTATCTAAATGTACATGAAGGAAATAAATAAATAAAAATAAAATTACAAATTGAACTTCATTACCAACTCTCCTTTAGCCGAAGAGTGTTAGAGCTGACAAAAAATAAACATGCCTTAACTTTGAAATAACATTGTACTTATACCTAATTATACTTGATCTAATAACCGTAAGTGACGGAAGTGGTTTTTTGTCAATACTTAATTACGAGGAACGAGTGATGACGTAGGTTACCTACAAACAACGCATTAAGTCTGTTGTTGGCACGTGTTCTTAATTTTTAATTTAAATTCGAAATATATTTTTAATGGGTAAGCAAATTACACTTGCAATTGTCAAATTAACTAAATAGTATTGCTCATTCGTAAGGCAGTTTATCCTGAAATTAATGAGAAAGAGGCTTTGGTCACAGTACTGCCACCTACCTATTTCTGCCGCCAAGCAGTAATGTCAGCGTTACTGTGTTCCCGTTTTGAAGGGTAAGGGTGCTGATGAAATTACAGGCACATGGAACTTGTCAACTTATGTCTCAGGGTTACGGGCGTAGTAGCAGTGCCCCTGAAATTTTTGCGTTTTAAAGCTCTGAGTGGCTCTGCAACTGCTATTCGCCATCGCCTCGTGACTGCCAGTTAACAGCTGAAAAGATGACTTGTTACAGTTTCTAAATATTGTTTATTGAACTCAACTCTATAAGAAGTTTTAATACGACCTAATTTCATAGTAAGATACGCAAAAACGGTAAAAGGAAAAAACTAATTTTTTCTGCATCCTTTTCCTTAAAAGATGTGTTTAGGAAACATGATGATGAGGAAACTGTTGGAATCATAAAAAATGATATAATGCATAATAATATCGGTAAAAACCCACGCGGTGACTATAGCCTTTGCAGAATTGCAGTTAAACCGGTGAATTCTCTTTTTGGAAAGTAGTTTTTAAGAAAAAACTTACTATACCTCTTTCACGCTGTGTATCGTGAGGGATGTGATTTGAAAGAAGTTATAAGGGCACCTCTAGTATATAACCAGAAATGGAGACGAAATGTCATTTAATTTGTTTCAAAACTATTCTGCCAAATCATTACGGTGACAAATGCGCCTCGATTGGCCAGCCCGAATTCGAAATAATTGATTTGTTTCACTTCAAATCGACCAGTTTAACTTGAGCTTTACTATAATGGACGAAAATTGAAAAATTACATATTTAATTACCGATGAAATGCGATTCCGTTTGTTTTATAATCAGATGTTTTGCTGTTTTTCGCACACCCCCGAAAGGAACAGCACCCCATTGTTAGAATATTATATTTATTACAATAAATACAGAATATTTTTGGAATATACGGAGACTCACACAGGTCAGTTGTTGGCGCTGTACTATTTCAGCTTTCTAGTTTGTGATTGCAGCGCAAATGAGAGTTGACATTTAAAAGCGATATAAGGCCCATTTGCCTGATGAGTTGCCAAGGATGGATGGATGGATGGCCCTTACTTCGTCTTTATTTCTGGTTAAATACTCGATAAGTGCTAAAGTAAGTGAGGTGTTAATATAGATTTTAAAATAAGAATTTTATTGATACCTAAATTAGTGACATTACTGTAGTCAAGAGTAAACAACATTTCGAAATATGAAAAGACATCTTCATACAATGAGCACTATGATGATCGACATCTCTAGTCAACCGCTGGTAGCTGTAAAGGCACCTGGTTGAGTGAAGAAGAACTATCATAGTCTTCTCACAGATGGCGCTATTGCAAATTTAAAAATTCGTTAAAAATCAAAAACAAAGATCTGAAACAAGGACATAGAAAATTTATAAGGTCTGCTCGTTTGTTCTATAGCTCAGTTGGGAGAGAGCGTCAGCCATGGTGTGGTGAAGGCACTGGTTCGAATCCAGCCGAATAAATAATAAATTTCAGAATAAATTTCTTAAATGCTACAATACTGTTTTTGGAATGTGATATTGCGAGGTTTTCTTTTAAAAGAATTAACATGAACAAACTGCGTCAAAAGATTAAAGCTTAGTTCTTGCATTACGGCGGCGAGATGGAAATATCTAGAAAGAGTAGAGAGTAACTAGCTCCTTCCTACAATTGTTTGCATTCTTGTACTTTCCGGTAACGTGTTGTTCGCATTATTAAGTTTTCATAGACGTTATTGCTGTTAAATATCACGTGTTGAGCCCGGACGCGGAAGGTTAATTTGTTGTCATACCAACCAATAGTTTATTAATCTTAACAAATTGTTATTTTCAAAACAAGATATTGACGTCAAAGTAACGTATACTGCCATAAACACCAATATGTGAAAATTGTATTGTTAATTTTAAGAATGGATTAGCTCTATGGAAAATACGAACTCTAATGTCATAAATTAACACTGTGTCTTTATCAGAGTTTAAAAAATCCAACGAAAAAATCTTACACAAGAATTAATGTGTCAAAAAAAACACCAATTGTTCTCTCAAATAAGGGAATTCCCTATATTATGAGTATGAGCTCATAAGCTAGTGAAAAGGGCCTACATGATACGTCCTAGTGGTCGATGACCGGTTGGTCGGTCTAAATACTGATGGAGCGACAAAGTTGAGGAAGACCTCCACGCCATGCACGTAAAGAACTGGGAGGAGATCGACAAGACAGGGCACGCTATCGCTAACTCATATCGGAGGCCAAGACCCGCTTCGGATCTATGAACCAGCGGAGTAATTAAATATGTGTACCAGATCCAGGGCACTATCCGAAACACCCAGAACCTAATCATTTAGCACCTACAGCAAAAAACATTAGGCTACCGAGGTCGTCCAAGAAAGTCTAAACACATAATGAAGAGAAGATTGAGGAAACTTGCTTTGAAACCCAAAAATCACGTTGGCCCAATGCAGTTTGGGCACGTCATGCGTTTTCCTAAGGCTGTGATACTTTTTTGACCCATAGGTTTCATCACGATGTTTCTCTTCTCTATTAGCGAGAGTTATTACTTACTACTAAATATTTACAAATGTACATAACATAGAAATTAAATTCGATGTGCCGCCATATTTCCGTTCTCCCACTGTTAAAAGTCACTAAGCGAGCTACGGATCGAGACATGTTGTCTGAAGGATAAGATTCTCAATTAGGTTATCCAACAGAAACCAAGGACGTCGATATAGCTGATAGAATTAGCAAGCTGAATTGGACATATCTGTCGAAGAAGCGGTATCCGATAAAGGACACGTGTTCCTCTGAGTGGAGACCACGGTTTGGAAAACGGAGTATAGGACGCCCACTGGCCAGATTGAGTGATGATCTGCGAAAG